AGGAGGATTTTGTCCCAGGGTTTCCTACAGGTCGGCGACCTAGGGAGGGGAGGGGCAGGGGCGGGGGGGGGGGGCAGGGCGGCGACGGCGAGCGCGGGCAACCTGCAATAGGCGACCCGCGGCCCGCGGACCCAGACCTTTGTGTCCGAGTCGGGCCAGTTGGCCCGCGTCGCAGCCACACCAGCAGATATCTGTGCTGCGTCGGCCGTGTCTGGCGACGCGAACACAACAAGCATCTGGTGCCACACGCTGTGGTAGCGTGGGCCACACACATTGCTAGCGAGCGAGCGCCACAGCCGTTGTGCCACGCGAAGCGTGAGGAATAAGACGACGGCAATGACAGCTCGCCCGCAACGAGCACAGATTCACAGGCAGGCCTGGTCTCACTCACAAGGCTCCTTAGCCAGGCCCTCGGTCGCCAGGGCACGCGAAGCGTGGTGGGTATATACGGAGGGTGCTGGCGTAGGTGCTGCGTATGTGCTGCGTCGGTGCTGCGTCGATCATGTCGTAGCGGAGCACGAACTCAACTACAACACCTGATCGCACACAAAGAATGAGACATCGAATCACCCGCGAACAGAACCTCCTGTTGCCACAGCTAAACGATGGGCGCCCGTTGCCAGGTCACGCGTAGCGCGTGGTATGTGTCCAGGTATACATGTCGAAAGAACTTCAGGTCGGATATCACTTTCGATCAAATGAGCGGCGCGGACACAACAAATGAAATGTCAAGTGCTGGCGTGGTGCTGCGTAGGTGCTGGCGTAGGTGCTGCGTAGGTGCTGCGTCGGTCTTGTCGAAGCGGCGCACGAACTAAACAACAGCAGAAATTCGCACAGTGAAAGCGAGAGACGTCAACTTATGACTCATCTAGCAAGGACGTGCTGCTGCTGCTGGGCGGCAATAACAAGGTCAACTTAGCGCTCTGAATATAATACAATTGCGCCCGCTGCTGGGCGGCACTGCTCCACACAAGAAATGACACAACACATGACAAGTGCTGGCGTAGTGCTGCGTAGGTGTTGGCGCAAGGGCTGCGCAGGTGCTGCGTAGCGCTGCGTCGATCATGTCGTAGCGGAACCCGAACTCAACAACAACAGAATCACACACAGCGAAGCAAAGTGAAGCAAATGTGATAGCACCAATGTGATAACACCGATTAGCCTGCAAGCGATTGTCTGGTCACGCGCAGTGTGTGGGAATATTATTGCATATGGTGAGCACGGCGCACGATGCAATCAACCAGAACTAATCACACACAACTGCGGCATGGCGTCTTCGACTGGACGCGCGCAGCGCACAGAATATAAACTGACAATCCCTTTGTTGGCGGCACGGACTCAACACAAGAAATATGCAAGTGCTGGCGTGGTGCTGCGCAGGTGCTGCGTAGGTGCTGCGTCGATCATGTCGAAGCGTGGCACGAACTCAACTACCTCGAAATTCATACAGTGAATGTGTCTTCCAAGAAACTCAATCTAAGATCAATACACAACCAAACAAACACAATGAAAATGATAAAAAGGGCCCGATGGGGTACACGCTCCGTCGCAGTTAAGCCATCGTGGGCACCCGTATGGGCTCTACGGGTCTACCCCCTCGGGAACGGCGTGTCACTGATGTCGTTACCAAACCAACAAGAATAGCCCCAGTACTCCAATCATGCATGCTTACGCAGGGCTCTCACCACGTAGTGGCCCTTGGTCTTCTCCGCTGGGGGATTGCACTCGCCTGCCAATTTCTCGCTGGCGTAGTGCTTGGCCAAAGCCCCGCAGTTCCAACAGAAGTGCCCCTGCTCCTTTCTGTTCCATTCGATATGGCGGGACATGTGTGCGCATCTGACTTTGAGTGAGAATATACTTGGCACGCTAGGGCAAGTCTGAGTAGCCGAGCAATCCGACTGCAACCACCATCTTGCCATCCGCTTCCTACGTGTGACCGTGGATTGTGCGCAGGATAAGCATTTCCAGCCAGTTGCAGTCTTTTCCCATATGTGCTTGCTGTTGTCTGCGAGCTGGTCTAGGGTGGGTTCTGGTGGTTTGTTCAGCTTGGCCTCCTTCCGTAATTGGTGACGGTCCTCCCAAGTCATTGGCGGCTTTCGTTCCATTGCATCCATAGTAGCTTGGGTGATCCGCTGTCGTACTAGCTGGCCGACTGCTCTAACCCATTCGTAGCAGCTGGGCTGTGCCGCTGGGATAGCATGTTCCTCCGCTGCGAGGTCAGCGCGGTGATCAGCTTCTCGGTTACCAATCCATGCCCACGTTGGTACCTGCCGCTCTAGCGACTCTTCCAGACTGAGGTGGCTGCGCATCTGTTTGGTCATGATGTCATTGTGATATCCACCTCGCTGTTGGATAGCTTGCTTGATCCTTCTCCAAATATCTCCATCTCCCTTCGAGTGCCTCTTTGCAAAGAGTCTCTGGTTATACCATACGCGGCGAAGTACAGCTGAATCTGTCCAACAGATGATCCTACCAGTGGAATGCTGTAAGATGTGTAGCAGAGCCCAAAGCTCAGCTCTGTTGTTTGGTTGCCTCGGTCCAGGTAGTGGCCCTCTAGCTGCTGCTGCAACTTGTTCCCCCACCATCTGCACCCATCCCCACCCGCATCGACGGTATCTTCTGTCACTTGACATTGCGCCTCCGCTGCCGTCGCCACAGAAGTGAGTGGGTGATCGGGTCCTGCTTGGATAACTCCATCTGCCGTGTTTTCCTTGATGTCTGCGGGGTCCGTGTCACACGGGGGTGGGCAGGTCATGGGTTTCGGCGTGATACCTCGTAACCAAAATGCAGAATTTGTAGCCAGGCCCTCTTGGGCCCTGTCTCTGAGATGGCCCGTTTTGTGGTAAATGACGCGTTCCTTCCTGCATGGGCAATTTCCCCAGATGCGGTGGGCTCCGCAGTCGCAAAGATCGCTGGCGCCGTATGCGTCCGCAATACGCTTCTGTGTCCACGTCCCTGCACAAGCTGCTGCGAGGAGTGCGCCATGCCTTTGGTGCTTACCCTTACTTTCCAAGCCTCGTAGATGTCGAATGAGGTCATCGAGGTCGGCTCCGTGTTCGAGACCGCTGCCGTTGTGGTGTTCGCTGGCTGCTTTCCATTGTCTTAGCTCAACTTGCGATACTATCGTGTCGATGGCCTCTGTGGGGTCGCCGTCCGCATCCTCAGGTTTGAGCTGCCATTCGTCACCTGCTGGGTCGATCCACCTGTCGGCCTCAATCGGGTTCCAGTTTAGCCCCCATAGTGTGAGGATAAGCGAGCCCATGATTCCTCTTTGTACCTGCCACCTCTTGCGTTTCTCGGTGTTCTGCAGCTTGGACGTCACTATCTTGCAGGATCTCTTGATGCGGTTCTGGACTCCGTCCCCTGTGGCCCATAGGTCGAACCATGCTTCCAGCTGCGTTCTAACCGTGGTAACCTCAGGGTCAGTGCCTTCAATCGCGATCAAGGATGTCAAGCATCTGCCTGGCAGAGGAGAGGAGGAAGGAGGAAGGAACGGGCAGAAAGAGGCAGGAGGAGGGAGGAGGGAGGAGGACGGAGGCGGAAGGAGACGAGAGGAAACGGAGCGGGAGGAGGGAGGAAGGAAGGAGGAGGGGGAGGCAGCGCATCGTCTTACAGAGTAGTCCTTAGGCAGGCTGTGGACCCTTCAGGCCCCCAGCACCAGACCTCCTCCTCCTCCTCCACCTCCTCCTTCTCCTCCTCCACCGTTTCCTCCTCATCATTCCCGTCATCATCACCGATTGCTTCATCACGGCCATCGCCCATAATCAGACTCATCACCAATATCATCAACATCCACACTGTCATACAAATCATCATAATCATCATCATCATCAGCAGCAGCATCATCACCATCATCATCAACATCAGCATCATCGTCATCATCGTCAGCATCAACATCATCATCACCACCACCACAACCATCAGCATCGTCATCAGCAGCAGCATCGGCAACATCATCATCATCCTCATCAGCATCATCACCAGCAGCATCATCACCAGCATCATCATCAGCAGCATCAGCAGCAGCACGAACATCAACATCAGCATCAGCATCAACAGCATCAGCATCAGCATCAGCATCATCGTCATCAGCATGATCAGCATCAGCGGCAACAGCATCATCAGCAGCATAAGCATCATCATCAGCAGCAGCACCAACATCATCATCATCATCATCATCATCATCATCAGCAGCAGCAGCAGCATCATAATCATCATCATCCTCATCATCAGACTCATCGTCATCAGCATCCGCATCATCAGCATCACCATCATCAGCATCATCTTCCACAGCATCAGCATCATCCACATCACCATCATCAACACCATGATCATCATCAGCATCAGCATCACCCGCATCATCATCATCATCATCATCATCATCATCATCATCATCATCATCATCATCATCATCATCATCATCATCATCATCATCCGCAGCATCATCATCAGCAGCAGCATCATCCGCATCATCATCATCATCATCATCATCAGCATCATCGTCATCATCATCATCATCATCAGCAGCAGCATCATTGTCAGCATGCCCACCATCATCATCAGTATCAGCATCATCGCCATCATCACTACCAACATCGCTAGCATCGCCATCGGCATCAGCATCATCATATTAGTCATCCTACTCATCAGCAGCATCATCCGATGCATATCCATCACCAACATCGGCAGCATCGTCGTCCTCGTCAGCATCACCAGTACTAATGCCGACGGCATCGACATCCGCGCCGTCAGCACAAGAGAAGGTGGGTTTGTTATGTTGGTGGGTTGGTGATCGGGCTCGTGCTAGCCAGAAAACGCGCGGTGTGTTCGTTACGCTGGGCTTTTTATATAGAACGAGGGAAGAGATCGAAGTCTGGCAGGCATCTGACCGAGCGCACTCACCCAGCCAAGCGTGACTCCAGACTGGGGGGGAGAAGGAATCGGATCGCGCGGCGCCAAACGTTTGCGCGGGCGCTGCATTCATGGGAGTGTCTGCCCCG